TCGAAGTTGATGGCGCCATCGCTGTCATCATCACCACGAGAACGAGAGGTGTTCAGTTGCAGCTGGGCCTCCGCCTCGCCACGGCGAAGTTTGCTCCTCTTGCTTCCCGGGTGGCGCTGGGTATGAGTCTTCACCACCAAATTCTTGGTGCTGTGATGGACACGGGCTGGCGCCGCCACTTCGGGGAACGAGGTCTTAATGGCTGATTGGACCAGGGACTGGCTGTCCGAAAGGACAGAGCTGATGACCGAGCCCGCCAAACGCGCAAAGACCTCAACAAACTCGGTGAGCATGTCGCCCATCCCTGGGCTCTTGCTTCAGGAACTTGATTTAAGCTACCATACTAGGGATCAGGGCTTCCTTATTGTGGTAACTTAAACTGACATCCTGAGCAGCCCGAACCCGTAGAATCCTTGTAGAACCCTTCAAGGAACCCGAAACGGCACTAAACAATGGCACCCTGAACCCTAAACCCTAAACCCTAACAAGAGCCCAGATTCGGGTCAGGAAGGAGAGAGGCGGCACCACTTGCAGCAGCTTGTTCCCGAAGCAGCCGAAGACGTCGCCGACGCCCCCAGCCGTCACGCAGCCTGCCACCTCTTAGGGTTGAGCGTGTAGGTTTTGTTTTAGGGTTTAGGGTTTAGGGTTGAGGGTTTAGGGTTTAGGGTTTAGAGTTCAGGGTTTAGCCACCTCACGGCCGATGTCAACGATGGCACGGATTGGGGCCAGGCCATGGCTGACGACGGTCTTCACGGGCTCCGGCCAGTTGACGTTGGTGTTCCCGAAATTGAAATCGAAGAGCGTGATGCTTTGGCCCATGAGCCTGAGGGCTTAGGGCGTGGGGCTTCGAGTTTCGAGCTTGGGGGTTTAGCGTTTAGGGGTTTGGAGTTAAGGGTTAAGGGTTTAAGGTTTAGGGTTTAGGGTTTAGGGTTTAGGGTTACGGGTTTAGGGCCTAGGATGCTCCGGCCCATGCACCTGATGTAGCACTTCTGCCGGCCCCAGTTGATGCGGAAGCCCGTGGAGTCGACGCCCATGGAAGGCCATGAGGAGTCCGGGCAGCCGGCGCCGAAGTCCGTGAAGCCTCGCAGCCTGGGCTCAAGTTTAAGTTAGTTACCATGGTTTAGGATTCCTTTAAGGGTTCTACAAGGATTCTAGGGTTCAGGGTCAGGGACGTTGATCTAAGTTACCATCATGAGGAAAAGCCTATATACTGTAGGTCCTTGTTATGGTTTTTTTCTAAGAAAATTATAGCCCTGAATGGGAACCCAGCAGCAAGATGGTGACTGCCATTTCGACGGTATCGATGACCGTATTGGCCACGAAGGACACTTGGTCTGCAGCTGCCTCATAGGCATCGCCCAAGGCGTCACCCACCAAGCCCGTGCCATCCGTGACGGCACCGGCCACACCTCCGGCCACATCCGCAATGCCGCTTCCGACGTCCTCGATGAATTTCGAGCTTACAACGGCGTCCAAAGCCTCAGACTTCGACTTGGACTCCTGCTTCTGTCGAGCACTCCGTTCCAAGAGCGCCGCCTTTTCGCCCTCTGGTGCCTTGCTGGCCTTGGAGTCCTTGGAGTGCGGAGTGAGGTATTCGCGAGTCTGCCTCTGGTGATGATGCTTCTGGATCACCTTCTTGAAGACCCGGCTTGCCTGGCAGAACATGGGCAACTCGAGCTTCCAGCTCTGCAGCAGAGCAACAGTAAGCCAAGCGTAACGAAGCTGCCCCTCAGCCCTGAAGCCTAAACCCTAAACCCCCAACAACAAAACAAAATCTAACTCCTAAACTCTGCCCTATACTAATTCCTAAATCCGGCCTAGAAACCCTAAACCCCTACACCCTGCCTCGAGCACTTGAGCTTTCTCCTTCGCCCTGCGCTCACGGAGGCTGGTGGTTGAGTTCGATGCGGTCGACGTGCCGCGGACCTCGGCCCTCAGTTCGTCGATCTCCGCCTCTCGCGCTTCTGTAGGGTTTTGGGTTTGGGATCCAGCATTCAGGGTTTAGGGTTTAGGGTTCAGGGTTTTGGGTTTAGGTTTTGGGGTTTAGGCTTTAGGATTTTAGGGTCTTGGGCTTACACAACATCGTAGTGGTTTATAAAGCATGAAAGCCCTGTTGCTTTATAAAAACACTACGATCTCTGCCTGCTGCTTCTGCAGCTGAGCTTGTTGCAGCTCAACCACCTCAGATGCCCGCAGGAAATAACGATAAGATCCCCCTGTAGGCCCTATATCGCAAAAATGTGATATGCCCCAAGACCCTTGTCTAATCGTTCAGGAAATACTTCGCTCTCTCCATTTGCACACCCCTCACCCCTAAACCCTAAACCCCTATCTAAACCCAACCCCCACCCTAAACCTTAAACCCTAAACTCCCAACCCTAAACCCGAAACCCCTAAACCTCATCAACGAGCCGCCGTCTCCATTTGGGCCACCTTCAGCAGCAGAAACTCAAGGTTCGTGCCCAAGTCGCCGAAACCGTGGCGCCGCTGCCCGTCGCCTGGGTTCTTGTTGAGGAACTTGCATTAAGTTACCATGCTTTGGGATTTCTTTAGGGTTTAGGGTTTAGGGTTTAGGAACTTACATTAAGTTACCATGCTTTGGGATTTCTTTAAGGGTCCATAAGGGTTCCATAAGGTTTAAGGAGCCTGCCTTAAGTCTCCATATTTTGGGGCTCCTTTAAGGCCGTAAGGGTTTAGGGTTGAGGAACTTACCTTGAGTTACCAACATAGGGTTCCATGCTAGATCATGGGGTCTTCATGTTCTGCTAACTTAAACTACCTTCCTTAGCAACAGCCCAGTCGCTCTGGTTGCTAGTGTTCTCCATGTCGCCCAAGCTGTCCACTTCCTTGAAGACATGTGCCAAGTTGCCAACCAAGATCTCCTCAAGGCTGTTGTTGGTTCCATTGGTGCCATTGGTGCTGTTTCCATGAGAGCCAGTGAGGTTCAATGGCAAATCCTCGGTGATCGACAACTGCGTCACCTGAGTCTCGGACTTCACGGCAAGCAAGGAGGGGGCTGCGACACAGTCTGCCGCAGCGGTCGTGATGGAAAGGAGCAGGCCAAGAAATGGCCAAGCGGTCTGCATGATGCAAAGTGAATGAAGGAAATTGCGAGGTCTCGAGCCAGCAGTTCCTGCGAAAATGAAAAGACGGTGAAGCCTGGTCGTGGAAGTTGTGGTGCCGTGACATGCACCTGTCGCAACCTTCAACCTTGAGCGCTTAAATCTCTTGCGTGGCTGAAGCCTCACGGCCGAAGCCACTCCATAGTCCCATGAACCTTTAGGTATGCCACGCAAAGAGTGTCAAAGGCTGTCCAGTCCTGGAAGTCTCGTAGCGCTTCGCAGGAAACTGGCGGGATATCATAGTGTGTGCTTCTGCTGTGGATAAAGAACTGTGGCGATTTAAAACATGTCGGAGACACTGCCCTAAACCCCAAACCCTAAACCCTAAACCCCAAACCCTAAACCCTAAAGTGTGATTAGGGTTGGGCATAGGGTTTGGGATTTTATAAGGCTTTAGTCTAGTTGTCTTATCTTAGAGCATGTACAGTTCAGACTGCAAGTCTTCTGTCAGTACGAGGGGAGCAGAGAAAATCTATGCCAAGTGACGGTCTCTTCCACAATGTGCTTCTCGATGTCACCGCAGCCCGCCTCCTGTTAGGCTTGCGAGTTGAAGCATTTCCGTGCGCGAGTAGAAAAAAACCCAGAGAACCCAATACCCCTTAATTAAGGAATATGCCTTAAATTATAGGTGCCTTGAAATTCTGATTTAAGGCACATTCCTGAATTAAGGGGTATTGGATTCTCTGGGAACCTGAAACGTTGGCATTGAAGCGTTCGCAATTAGAACCAGGGAGCATGACGAGAAATCCCAAACCACTCGCCCTCCTGCCAACTGTTAAAAGAAGTGCGACGCCTTGCAACGCTTGCGCAACGAATAAGATGCTTAAATCCAAACCCATATCAGAATATAAGCACCAAACTGTGAGCTCTTCAACCCCAAACTCGAATCTGAGCTCACAACCGAACTCCGTGATCTTAGTCTTGAACCCTAAAACCTTACAGCCGTAAAACCTTACAGCCCCGGACCTTGAACCCCAAACCCTAAGCCCCGAAAACCCTAAACCCCAAAGACTGCAAACCCTAAACCCTGAACCCTGAACCCTAAACCCTGAACCCTAAACCCTGAACCCTGAACCCTAAACCCAATGCCCTGCAGCGATCCTTGAACCTTCTCAGAACTGTCTCCCGAGCTTTCGCAGCTATTTCCTCGACGAGGGATCGGGTAGGCTTTGGGGCTCAGGTTTTTTGGGGCTTCGGAGTGTAGGGTTTAGGGTTTAGGGTGTGCGAGCGTAGGGTGCTGATTTTAGCGTCTAGACACTGGAACCCTAAGGCTCAAAATAGCCCAGAAGCCTTATTTAGTAGGGTCTTTGGGCCCAAACGCCTAAAGATATGAGCCCTTATAGCCTTAGGGGAAGTTAGTGGCTTCGCTGTTTCGCGTTAAGGCCTGAGCAAAACTACTCGATCGGAGCCTCGGTCATACACCGAAAGCCTGACACTCTAGAAGGAAACCTGGGAAGAGGTACTACTGTTGATGTCAGAAATCTTGCATTACCTTAAGGACCCCAAAATATAGGAACTATGGGAGGATATTCCTTAGTATGGGTAATGCAGGATTTATATCATCAACCGTGCTTATGGGGCCTCAGAGGGCTTAGTCTAAGGATAGCGTCAAGGCCTGACGAATGAGACCTACGGCGTGTTATTTGGGGGCGGGGGGGGCTGTGCACTTTCATCATCATCGGGAGCCCAAAGGAACCCTAAACCCTAAACCCTGAACCCTAAGCCCTAAACCCTAAACCCTACACCTTAAACCCCAAACCATAACCAGGAACCCAAAGGGAGACTGGTATTAAGACTGTAGACCCCTAAAACTGGTCCTCCAACCATCCCTGGACTTGACACCCCAGCTCCTGAAACATCCTGAAACTATGGAAAGCTCGGTTTAAGGAGTGCCTACGGTTTAGGGTTTCGGGGTTTCGGGGTTTAGGGCTGAAGGCTCCTTAAACCGGAAATGCCATGACCTCCTCCTCTTCCCCTCCACAATGTTATGAAGCAAATCTGAAGACACTGACACTTGCTTCGTTATGTCATCTTAGGAGACGAACTTGTCGTTAGTATCCTTACAGGAACCAGGATAACTGTCAATGCAGCCGCAGAAGCTGAGGTAGTGGTGGCAAGAGTCGTCGTCGTAGCAGCAGCTAGTGGTAGTCTTAGGATGCGAAAATCCTAAACCCTAAACCCTAAACTTACGATGCGAAAACATCGAAGCCACCTTGTAGAGCTCTCCTTTGGCACCCGGCTTGAACCCGGCCTCGGCTTTGGCCGTGACTTTCTGGATACTTGCGACTTGGGACTCCGGGTGAAACGGCTTGGCTAAACCCTAAACCCTAAACCCTATAAGCCCTAAATCCTAAACCCTAAACCCTATAAGCCCTAAACCCCTTGCCTTAGGGCTTCCCGAAGTCCTAAACCCTGAACCCTGAGCCCGGTTTAGGGTTTGGGGTTTAGGGCTTCGGGTTTAGGGTTTAGGGCTCAGAGTTGAGGGTTTTGGGCTTCGGAAGTTTAGGGTTTAGGGCTCAGGGTTGAGGATTCAGGATTTTCAGAGTTCAGGTAAGTTGAGCGGCTGGTATTCAGGGTCCGGGCTTGGGCTTGGGGGGCCCTTCGGGGGGGGTCGAGTTTGGCTTCGGGTCTCAAGCTCCAGAGGACTTGAGGCTCGACAAGTTAAAGTCGTGACGTAGCCCTTGGTCCTCCGAAGCTCATGGGCTCATGGGCCCATGGCAGGATTCAGGGTTTAGGGCTTAGGGTTTAGGCTCGTGGGGCTCATGGATAACATGGCAGGATTCAGGTGAAGGCCTTCCGGAACTTGACCTAGGGGCCTTAATAATTCGAATAGGAGTTGGGGGTATATTATCGTATAATTCTAATAAGGAACCCCCAAAACCCTACTCTAATTGTTAAGGCCCCTATATTGTAGAACCCTCTTATAGTAGATCCCTTATAGAGCCCTGAAGAGGCACCCTTTAAGGATCCCTTTAAAGGAACCCTATTCTAATTATTAAGGCCCCTACATTCGCAGAAATCGGCGCCAAAAAAACTCCAGCGCGCCGTGGTTGAGGAACTACGTCGGTCGCCCCCAACAGCACACTCTACTTACTTCATCCCTAAACCCTATACCCTAAACCCTTTCAGGCCTAAACCCTAAACCTGTAAACCCTAAACCCCTAAACCCCTAAACCCCTAAACCCTGAACCCTATAAAACCGATAATCCCTAAAAGCCCTAAACCCTGAAAGCCCTAAACCCTAAAACCCTGAGCCCTAAACCCTATAAACCCTATAAGCCCTAAACCCTAAACCCCTAAACCCCTGAACCCTAAATGTCGGATCTGCTTTGCAGACCGATGGAAACCCAAATCCAAATCTTCGCCGTAAGTCAGTGCTCAGGGCTTGGGCTTTTGGGCTGATCTGCTGTTGATGGTATAAATCCTTAGCATGACCTTAAGGACCCCAAACTATGGGAATTTATGGGATATTCCTTACTATGGGGTAATGCAGGATTTATATCAGCAACCATACTAAGCCTAAGCCCCAAAACCGTAACAACCCCTAAACCCCAGAAAAACCCTCAAAAACCCCCCAAAAAACCCCAAAACCCTAAACCCCTAAAACCCTAAACCCCTAAACCCCAAAACCCTAGGCCTTAGGAGGCCCTGGGCCTCAACGACGGATTCCTGGTTCGACTCGAAGCTTCAAAAAAAAAAGGGCTGAAGACTGAAGGGCCCCAAAAGAGTGGAAACCCTGACAGCCAGAAGGTTTAGGGTTTAGGATTTAGGGTTTAGGGTTTAAGGTTGAAGGCTTCAAAATGGCGGGGTGTTGAGGTTTGGGGATTAGATTTCTAGAGGTGTGGGCCCCTTTGGGCTTTAGCCTTCTATAAGTTTAGGCTTTAGCCTTCTTTTTGTTAAGGGTTTAGCCTTCTATAAGTTTAGGGTTTAGGGTACATTGGGCTTCTCCAAAAGCGAGGGAGCGTCGGCTGCCATCTGCTGCATGTTCGCAACGGGGAAGAGGATCATGATGCTCTCCTGAGCTCAGTGCGCCGTGCTTGGAGTTTACGACAAATTCTAGCCATGATGAATATCATCACTGCAACCTTCACTACAACCTACTGCTCTAAATGCCCCTTGACCGGAGAAAAGTGTTCAAGCATCCATGCTCTACCCTGCAAGGTGACGTGTCGCAAAGGGCTTGTCAGTTCGTACAGCTACCTTGCACACCAAAACCTGTGCCTGGAAGTACTTCTTCGCACAAAGCCCAGGGAAAACGCGGCTGCATGAGGGCCCTAAGCTTCACGAAGACCGCTGACTCCGACCTCTTGCGACGTAAACTGCAAAAACAAAAAAACGAATCCCAAACGCTACAGAAGCCCTGAAGACGACCATGCTATGGCATGCCTGCACTCTTCACCCCTCGACCCCGAACCCTCCCTCAGGAGTTCTGACAACATAAAAACCGAGAAAGAAAGCCTACGGTTGATGGTATAAACCCTGCATTGCCCATAATAAGGAATATACCATCATAATACCTCCATAATAAGGAATATACCATAAACTCCCAGAGTTTAGGATCCTTAAGGTACTGCTAGGGATTTAGATATCATCAACCGTAGAACTCCTAAACCCCCTCAAGAAAACCTACCTGGGACTCCAATTACCTACGGTTTTATGGGTTCTACCTACTAATTAAGGGGTAATGGCTGCAAAACTGTAGGTCAAGAGAGTTACAGGTAAGCCCTGTGAAGCCCTGAACTCCGGATACCCTAAACCCTAAACCTTAAATCTCAAACCCTAAACCTCGAACCCTAAACCTCAAACCCTAAACCGGAAACCCTACACCCCAAGCTCCTAGGAGAGCTTTTTCTTAAAAACCCCCTTTATAACTAGCCATGGACCTCCAAGTAGGAGAGCTTTTAAACACCCAAAGCCCCTAGGAGAGCTTTTTCCCGCCTGCGTGGCCGTCGGCCATCGAGCGG